TCAAATCCATTGGTCAAAAATGACCGGTACAGTCACAACTTTGCCGGTCATTTTTGATTAATTTAAGTCTGGACATTGCCCCTGAATTCGAATTTTTGATTGATCTGAACTGCTGCTGGATAACAGAATTGGTTTTTCTTTTTTTAGTGCGACATTATAGTGGGTTTACTGGGCAGTTTTCTTTTTCATATTTTGGTTTTTTTTTTAAGTAAAGAAAAAAGCGTAGCTGTGGTATCAAAAAAAAATGATGCGGATCTTTGATTTCTTATCTATATATTGCTTCCTATCTGTTTGTATCACTGTTCCTATTTGCGCATTACTTCTACATTTATTTGATGGAGCTGAAAACAGGAATCTCATTACAGACAGAAATTGGAGAAATAGAAGTAAAAAGCAATGTCCAGTAACTCTACCATTTATATCTCATTCATTAGTGGAAAAAAGAATTTCAATGGACATGGCGGAACTTTTATAAATTGCACCTTCCAGATATGGATAGGGAAATACTTGGTGATGGCGAAGTACCACGAGTCGAGATCCCAGATATGCAAAGCCTGGAACGCTATCTACAGCCACTGGGTTTAACACTGCAGCACGCATTACGATTCATTGAAGGTTATACAACGAACTGTGGGGTAAATTTTGCGACAATTACTGAATTTCTTAAATTTTTTAAGTTTTGAATGACAGGACTGCTTCTCCGTCTTTCCTGGTCCTCCCTCGGCATTCCTTTACGCAGTCTTTTTTTCACTCATCATCACTATTCCTAAATGATTTAGCAGACCACTACTGAGACCCCCTTCTCCTCCAACCCTCGCCCGCCCTCCTCCCCCTCCTAAAAAAAACTGTAAGGTCTCAAAAAAAAAAAAAAAATTAAAAAATCTCAAAAAAAAGCATTGGGAATTTTCAGTTCATACCGGTGGACACTGAACAGGGGTGTGCTGCCCAGGATCGAAGGCTGTTTTAGAGCATACCAGTAAACATTGTCAACATGGGATCCTCACTCCGATTGTCCGGGCGGTCTTGGTATTCTTGGTGGTTAATATAAATGGGACGCGCCCATGCAAGCTGAATGTCTGTGATTCAGATCTATGTAAAAGATATCCGGCACTTAATTCGCTCCAGAGTGGAAATGGCTTGCCATTTCCTGAATGATGATGTGCTAAGGCTTTTATCTTTTTCACTCTGATGGTGTTAGCGTAATTGACCGAGTTTTTTCGATTTTACTAATTTTCCGGCCATGTTTTTTAATCATTTAAGCCATTTTCCCTTCTTTTCTTCGTAACTGGATCATTTTATCTCCTTTAGTGCAGCGGCAAGTTTTTGAAAGCAGAAACAAAAGCTAGATGGTGAATTCTTTCATCCTCTTACTTTGCTACTGAGTTATGAGGATTCTTACCGAAACTGAGACTGCTTGAGCAAATCTACCGACAAGTGGGAATGAGTTAGTGTTTGAATACTTGTTCGCGTTTTAGGCCAAGGATTTTCCCCCTAAATTTTTAGGAGGTGTTAGAATGTGTTAAGCAGCTACATTTCGATGCGGTTGAGGAATGTTGGCTGACATTTTGGCAACCCGAGAATGAACAGGAAGATATGGAAGAAGAAGATTGTGCACCAAACGAGTTAGTGAATTCTAATTGTACAGCTGCTTTTTATGCGTTTTTTGCAGCAATGCAATGCGAAAAACGCATATTGACGAGAGGTTGTCTG